GGGGGGGACGGACTGTTTATGTAGGGTTGGAGGGACATGTTTTTTTTTTTTGTTTGGGGGGGGGGGGTTCTTTGGTCTTTTATTGGGGGGTTGTTGTTGTTGGGGTTTTGTGCGGGCGGAGGGTTTGGAGGGTTGAGGTTGGAGGGGTGGTGGTGGTGATGGTGGGGGTTGTAGGGGAGGAGTTGTGGTGGAGGTATTATCGTGAGTGAGTAAAGTATTGGTATCATATGGGGACGGCGGGGGGGGTTGTTGTTCATCGTCTGTGGGCGAGCGACGCCGCCCTGTGCAGCTGATACTCCCGGCCCCCGTCAGGAACTACAGAGAGTGATGCCAGAGTCTGGAAACAGGCACCGTAATATTACACGCGTATAAATCGCAAGCCGAATATTAAGGAACGTTCTCACTTTACTAAATTTTCACTTAATTTTGGTGCGTATCTGATAAATCTAAACGTATCTGCCTATTCCATCCAATGTCCTATTTACAGGTGGGAGCTGGCAATTTTTTGTTGGTTAGAAAGATGTAGCCCATGAAGACTTTCGAGTGTCGTTCTGCCGAGTCGTGCGGATCTTGGGAATGAGCCCTTTTTTTTTACCTGTAAAAATGCTAAAGTGTCGAAACTTTTTGACGCCATGTGCGCGTGTGTAGAGAATTCCCCGCCTACTCAACGCCTTCTCCGTCTCTTGGCCCTCGCCTCTGCATCCCTCCGCACATCCTCATACTGATTCCACGCCTCACTGAGTTCAGCGCTCGTGCGTTCTGGTCCAAATATCCATTGGTCACCGCTATCAGGAGGCAGATGGTTACTATTTTGGTATGGGCTGGACCGTATAAGTTTTCGTGATAGGCGATGGTGGTTTGCTCGATAGGAACGACTTTTTGGGCCAGCTTCACCAGAGGTGCCGGGACTAGAGGTGCGGGGATCCTTTAGGGCTGGAGAGGCCATGCCGTTGTTGTAGCTGCCACTAGCAGCTCGTTTCCGCGGGCTTTCCGCTAGTGAATTGCCTAATGTTTGTATCTCCTGCTCTTCTTGATCGCCACCTTGCTTGCCCGGGTTGTCGCCATCGCCGCCGGGGCCGCTCCGGGGGACGATCGGTGGTGGCGGTACTCGGTATAATTCGAGTAGGCGGGTGAATTTTGGTAGAATAGCAGTCAGCTTCTCGTTTCCATGTGGTAGGAGCGGCGCGCCTGCGTTGCGGAGGATGGTAGACGCTGGATCGCCCCCCCAAAGAGCTGTTGGCTCTTCATCAAAGAGAGCAAGACTCCACGGGAATAGCTCAGGGCGAAGAACGTATCGTACGTAAAGCCTCGCTTGGATTGGAGGGGGTTTGCGAATCGCAAGCCTTCCCGCAGACGCCTCGCAAGTTCGGTAGGCGTGGAACTGCTCCTCCAGGTGAATCATTTCATCGAGATCGGCAGGGAGAAATATCCAACCAGGGAAGATCTTGTCGAAGTAGCGGTGGCAGGAAGGGCAGAGGAGTATGAGGTTCTCTACCTTGTTGATGCCATGAGCATTGATGATCCCAAGCTCCTGGTACTTGCAAAACTGCAGTGTAAGAATTGGAGTCAGTGATGGCTAGATTTCCTTTCTTGAATTGATTCACCATCTTCTCTTCTGCCTTGGGGAAGACATGTGCTATATCTCCATCATCCTCGGTGGAGCATAACCAGCAACTACCGAACGTCTTGCGAATACGGGCGCGAACGCTGTCCGAGACGCAAGCAGACGATCTTGTGTATTGTGACATGTCTATGATTGCATGTAAGTGGTAAGGGTGAGATGTGGGAAATGCGAAGGTGTGAAGGTATGAAACCTATAGTGGTTAAGGAAGCCGCGAGCGTTTCTTTTAGCTATGGAGGGGTTTTAAGCCCCGTTGCGAAGTGCGAAAGCTTAAGCGAGGCCTTAAAGTAGCGACATCCGTAATAACGTCATAATGCGGCTTTCAATAATCCATAATCCGATTTTTTAACTTCTGGTTAACTACACAGCTTTTTGGTTTCCTCAAACAGTGATAGCCCGCCGCGGCGAGGAAATGGCCACCTTTATGGGGTCCCATTTCTTATCCTTTGACGACCTTGCTGATCTTATACTCCACAACTAGAGGTTTCCCATGCTCGAAGATAAATCGACCAGCGCCGACGAACACACTGGTCTCGAGGGCCTTTAGGTTGTCATCTCCTGTCTACGCGGGGACTATCGTCAGCGCTGGGGTTCTAGGCGTCGCCTGCTCGCTTTGGCCTTGGGCTTCCATGGGCTTACCTCGAAGGTGAAATGGCAGACTTAAATTTGATGTCAGTGATTCTGAAGGGGGAAATTCCGCGGTGACGATTTTTTGGGAGAGTTCTCACATGAATCACCAAAATCCGTGGATGCTGCATCAGGACTACCTTCGAAAATGTTGAGCACAGCTTTGGTAGCCTCTAAGACTCCGGTGTAGGAGAAGTTGATGAACTTTTTTCATAGCTGTTAGCCATCATATTCCCTTCTCACCGCCAGCCCGATGCCAGTGTAAATATAACAAGCAACTCACAGATCCATTCTCGTTCCTACCAGCGAGCCGTCAGTTCGCGCTCACATAATTGTTCCCCTTTGTTCGCCTTCAGGAAAAGCTTACTTTAAGAGAGATTTTACATCCAGCCTGACATGCTTCTGCGATGGATCAGCCCGGAAAAAGTCCACGCCAAACACAAATTCCGCGTCGATCGTCGGAGAGAATCCCGGTTCGCTCTTCAGGGAGCCGCCCTTGAAAGTCTAGACACGCAGGAGGTCCTCAAATGTGAGCGAAACAGCATCACCATACAATCGTATAGAATACTGGGACTGGGGTTATCCGTACAATAACCTGGAGTGGGGCACCTCTGGATACATTTCCTACATTGCCGGATTTTCCGTCAGTTAGACACGCTGCTCGTAACTGGAGAAGGAATAGGCTAGCTTTCTGGTTGTAAGACGCACCGACCGCGAGGGGATGATCAAGTATTATCTTTAGTCGGCCGACCCGTCAGTTTTCCTCTTTGGCCGAGCACAGATGGGAGAAGCCAGGGCGTTGATCCGTTCTGCTTACCTGCAGCGTAAGGGCGTGCTGGAGAGCGGGGAATCCAGACATGGTTGCAGATAGATTGCTGACAATCGAGATAAACCAAAAAAAATCTCCTCTGACTTTTCAAGCACGAAGAATAAAATGCGCTTCTCTTCGTTTTTCGAGCGATTGGTTTCCTAACGGAAATATCCTCTTCAGCTCCGAAAGAACCGCGACGAAGAGAAACAACCCTCCCAATCTATTCGAACCCATTTAAAAAGGACCCAGTAAATAACCCCGCTCTCGTGCTGCCCATATCCGGACACTCTACGTTGCACCAAGAAAATCCCCACGGCCTAGCATCTGCAGTCGATCGTAAAATAACACATCGCCTTTTTTGCGCCCTCGGCCCAAAGGAAGGATCATCCCCAATCCATCGAGATAGAGTCGCGCTAGGATCGTCGCGGGCTATGGATGGACGAACCACTCAGAAAAAGGGCCCAGCCAATTTATTTATATTCGTTTTTGTTTTGCTCCCCCCCCGCGCTCCCTTCCATTTCCGAGGTTCGTTGGGTTTGGGGATTTATTCGGGGAACGGGTGGTGGTGGTTTCCGGAAGCTTGTGATGCGTATAAATAATCTGGCGAGTTGGGCAGGGGCCCCCCTTGGGGCGGGTGGGTAAGCGAGGGATTTCTAATGGTGCTTCTGGCGCTTCATAGGTTACATAATCTTTCTCTCTTGCATGGAAGGACGTCGTGGCGGAGTGGTTATCGCGTATGACTAGAAATCATATCCTTTCGGGGGCCTAGGTTCGAGTCCTAGCGGCGTCGACTTGATTTTTTTTTTTCCGAGATCTACTTTTTTTTGGCCCGCTTCTACAACCCCCAAATGCAATCAATATAATAAGGATGCTTGCTTTTTATTTTTTTAATTTTTTTTGGCACTACCAGTCCAACGGCCTTACAGAAGCGCAGCGTGCAATTGCAAAGTAAATATCATGAATTTTCTTGTATTACCAGGAGCACCTCGATAACTCCTTAGCCATACAACGTAGAAGGGAAAATTACCCATCCTCCATGCGTGCGCCGACGGGGAGGAAAAAAGTCTATAATACAGAGGATTATGAAGTTCGAAAAGTGCAAGCCTCCAAGCCCAAGTAGATCAGTTCTATCGCTCTATTAAACCGCTGCCATTACTTTCACGGCCTCTGCTATGACATCTCCTTACAACATAAGGGCAGCTAGTAGACCACTGAAAAATACGGACATAGGCACAAATGCGCCTGCGGCCGCGCCGGATGAGCTGGTAGGAGACTTGGTGGGTCCGGTAGGGGTTGAACCACTGGTAGTGGGAGTAGTAGTTCCATTGGTCGTCTTTAGGGCGAAGTTGGCGCAAGCAATGCGGGTCTTGTTGGCGAAGTGGATGACGATAGAGCGGTCACCGAAGAATGCAGGGTTACCGGACTTGGTCGAAGCATAGAGGTCAACGTAGCTAACAGGTAATGTTAGATATTTCAATAGGACTCATAGTGTTTGGGTAGTGCCAGGGTCAAATTACCTGGCTTCAAATGGATCGGCTCCCATCTTTCCGTGCTTGCCAGCAAGGTCACCAACTTGGCAGGTCTTTGGGTCGTTGGGATCGCAGGGAGGATCCTCGCCACGCTTGAACGGGTCCAGATGGGCGAGAGTAGCGGTGCAGCTACCGTTGCTCGGTACGGGCTTATCGTGGATATGGTACCCTAAGAATGGGCCGTGAGTTAATGCCATCTTTGACGAATAAACGGAATGGATAAACGTACCGAATGGACCACCCGATGTCGGTAGACCCCGAAAGCTGACAGTGAAGGTGACGCCAGTTCCATTGCTAGAAGCTACCCCAGAAATAGAGCCGTGAAGTTGACCAGACTCAGGTAAAGTCGCGACATAAGTGACACCAGCGGGGTTGTCGGTGACGACAACGGCGTTAGTGCTGGGGCTAAGTTGGGCGCTGGTAACAGCGAAAACGGAGAGCGCAGATAGAATGACTGAGGAACGCATCGTGACCGAGCCGATTAGATTGTATCGTCGAGACCGAGTTGTGGATGGTGGTGGGTTTATAAAGATCTTTTTGTTTACTTAGCCGGCCCGCACTTGCAAGTCGATAGACGAAGCTAGAACATACCAAGTTGGGAGGTCTCAAGCAAAGCGAAGGGAATTTTGACCTTTAAAAGAGTCCGTAAACAAGCGAGCAAGCGAGTGAATGTTCGGTGAGATGGGCTGGAGAGAGAAGAAGGGCTGGGATTCGAGAGGAGGTGTGAATAATATATACATTTCGTGGTAAACAACCAAAGGACTGGATTTCAAAGACAACATCGGGCTGACAACCCAAGGCTGCCGGCATACAACTATCCGATTCGCAAATAGATAAAATTAACAGCGATCTAGTCACCCCCCCCGCCCCTTGTGCCGCATGGGGACTTGGTTGCTGCAAAAGCTGCACTTCTTTCGGCCACCAGCGCCCTGCACAGCCAGCCAGGATCCCAAACAAGGGTCGCAGTCAAGCTTTTCTGGCAGCGGCGCTCGCAAGCGAATCAAAAAATAGCTGGCGCCTGGTTTCATCTGATGTGGCTGGGGCGGCTCCTTTGCAGGGTCGTTGGACTCTAGGCCCGCTCCCTTGGCTGGAGGAAGGACTCTGTTGTTGTTGTTGGTTGGAGGCTAAACGGGCCGGCTGGGAAGGGACGCATACGTGTATGGGTGTTGCACAACAGCTGTGCTACCAGAACATGCTTGGCAGCTATACACTCGCTTGCGCGTTGCTAGGCAGAGACTTTCGTCCCTCCCCAAGCACTTCTGGCGCATGGAGGGGTTGGAGCCGGAGGTTGGTTTTTGGTTTTCATTTTTGGTTCGGGTTTTCCCTTTTTTTCCTTTTTCCTCTTTTTTGTTCCTGGATCTAAGCGAGATCCACGAGCCAGCCACCTGATCCCTGGCAAAGATCTGCTCTCAGGGCAACTGGCTTGATCGAGGAAAAGAGCAAGGGAGTCGGGAGTCGGGAGTCGGGGTTTTAATATCGCAAAATTGCGGTCTGGCGGCGAGCATGCGACTATTCTGATGGTAATATGACCCTGTCTTATGTAGAGGGTCTCGGCTTCTCGGCGTCATCTAATCCTTAATTTTCGACAATTTGCGGTATTCTTAGGACCGTTTGGAGCTGTTGGTGTGGGTGCCGTTGCTCATGACATCTTGGCCAACATGAGAATGGGTGATGGGGTATTCTTGGCGCATCATGCACTTGGGTTTTTACCTCGAATCCATGGTCTCAGCGAGAGACCGACAGTGGGTTCCGGGGCGGAGAGAGCTGGTGCGGCTTGGACTTGGAAGTCTCATTCGCTTCACACGTTTGGGACACGAAGAACACCATATATCCTGCTTGAACATGTGGGCTGCTCGCTCCTCTGGTCCGGTCCAAGTCGCGAATGCTGCAACTAATGTGTAACCAAATCCGATACCGGCGCTGATGAAATCAATATGCTAACAAATGAGCTACATGTAGTATACAAATAACCTCCACCAATATGTCCAATGTATACCCGAAAGTGGTGGTTGTACTATTCTGACGCAAGGTTTGATGCGTTCTTCACCACTTTAGCTCTCTCTGACCTTTCCCAGCGAGCTTGATTGCAGTCCAGAGCTTCTTGGATAGTGGTTGGTAGGTAACCTTCCCTTCTACTATACCACTGATCCACCCAAACGCGAATAGGACCGTAATCGACACGAACATGAGGACGCCAAAGCAGCCCCAATATGTTTTGTGCGTGTAAACTCCTTGGAGATCTTGTATCTGCACCGAAAAGTAGCCCGTCATAAGACTCACGGGTAGAAAGAGGATGGTTAACTTCGCGAGGAGAATCGTTGTGCGGGTGAGGCGCTCTACAGCCTGGGACTCTTTAATGGCGATTAAATTGAAAGTCTGCTCCGTATTAAAATTACGTTCTGTCTCCGCAGGAGTTTGCACCCAATAAACTTACCATAAACACCAAGGACTCCTTTTCGTCGAGACATTGCTGGATTTCGTTTAGCACGTACAGGTCAATTCTGTCTCCGAGTCTCTGAAATCTAACAATGGCCGAGGGATTTAAGGTAGGCCCTAGAACACCGTCCGGGCTAGTAGGAAACGACTGCCCACGGATGAAAGACAAAGGGTTATTTTGATGGTCTGGTGTTCCATATTGATTTCTTGGCTTTTGCCTCTGCACGATGCTGTCGATAATTAGTCTGTAGCTTGCATATACACGCTTCAACACCCCAAGTTGACGCCCAATTTGATGAATCTCCTGCAGTTGTTCGAGACCTGGTCTCTCACGTAGTTGCTGGCGCTGCTTTTATTAGAATAGCTTCGAGGCATAGTTCATTTAGAAGACATACTAGGTTTCGTAATTTCTCTCCATATTTGTGTTGACCACGAACGACGAGACTGTAAGTCGTATACCAGTCGTCGAAAAGGTAGTAGAATAGTAAGCTAGGGGCATCTCCAGCGGAGCCCCCGTCAGCTTTACGGATGTGTAGGGTTGAAATGGCGCTCTCTGCTTCGGATAGAGATCCAGAATTTTCTGCTTTCGATAGATTTCGAAAGACATTGAGGAGATTGCGACGGATTTTAGATAGCTTCGCGATGGTGAAGACGCGTTGTGGCCACTGCTCAATACCCGGAAATGGATCCTCGTGAAGGGTTATCACGGTGCCTGAAAGACTTAGTAAGGGCCGAATAGGAGGGGTGATCAAAGCTAGGGTGTCATACCATCACCACAGATGATAAGCCAGGTCCATAGCCTCCTTCCGCTTGGGACATCTTTGAGCTCGTCCTCAGGACTTTCCGCTTCCTCAACATTATGGAGCCAATTATATCCCAAGCAAAGATCTGAGGCTTGTCGTTAACCATGTGCCATTGGAAGCAGAGCGACTACCTCAACATACACTTTTCGCCATAGTCAATAGAGGACCAATGCCAGACCTCGTCAGCAATGTGGTAATGATTCACATCCAGGCGATCACGATCTGGAGGCACTTGGCGGAGTTCAACAGGGTCTTCTGGATTTGGAGCTGCCACAGGAGACTGAGGTTCGTAGGATGCTCGGAATTGTTGTTGTTTTTGCCGAGCATACTCTTTAAAACGTTCAGTGGGACTAGGGGGGTCGCTGACGACGACAGGTTGTGGTCTAGAGGGATCTGAGCACATGATCCCACAGAGACGTGGGGAGAACGCATAGTGCTTGGCCAAGATCTATGTGTTCGCATCAGTATGATGAACCAAGCAAGGGATATTGATAACCCACTTTGACTGCCTCCTGCTGGCGGTTGGGGGCAAAGATATTACTATAAGCCTATTTTCAGCTTCATAGGTCCAACAGCAGCTCGAGGTCTGAAGGCAGCCTACATCCATCTTGTAGCGAGAGAAGTGGTGGGTCTCTGTAATGATTGAGAATGTATTAGCACAAGAACATCCAGCGAGCAATCCGCAGTGCGCCGACCTCGTGTTCTAATAGCCTCAGCAACTCGGCCGCGAGAACGTCTCTTGCTACCCAAGCACCATCGCTCCCAAAATCTACAACAAAATTGCGAGTGTCCGGATCTCGAAGGCTTTTATCACAGTCTGCATAGTTGCTATCCTGGTCGAGATCGATAAACTTCGACTTAAGGGTAGGGTCTCTAAGTTCGGAATAATACTTGGGCTTTTTATCATCCATTATGGAAGGGCTAGTCAAGGCTGTGTGATGAACGGTTCGTGAGGTAAGCTCTGGAGATGCGGAAGGCACCCTTTTCTACTGCTGAGAGGATCTCATGACAGATGTCTGAGC